CTGGTTCCAACGCGAGGGCTTTATCGGGCAGATCAGCGACCTCCGAGTCCAGAACCTCCAAGGTACGCAGCCCAGCCTCCCCGGGAGGGAGCCTCAGCGGGTCTGAGCGCGTGCGTGCCCGCCCGCCGCCCCCCGGGCCCCGGGCCCCCCGGCCTGACCGCACTTATGCTTCTTCGGAGGGCCGGGTGAGACTGCCGCCCCCGAACCCAGCCTGGCCAGCCCTCCTAGCCCCCCGCCCTGCTGGCTTGATAGTGGCCCCGGATGGGGGCATGCGCGTGTGTGTATCAGTGGGGGTCTCCATTTTCACTCGGGGCATGCCTCCCACTAACGGCCCCCCTTCAGTCACCGAGGCGAGTTTGGAGAAGTTCTGTGCGTGGTGGCCCAGGTCAGGGAGGCGAGAGAAAGCGCGACTACGTGTGCGAGGGTGTGTTGGAATACTTACTCCCCAGGTCCATCAGAGACGACGAGGCTGGGGACCGAAAGGGGGCGGTACCATCTGCGAACGGTGTGAGGGGAAGAGGGGATCTTGGCCACTTTCTTTGGGGGTGCTGACCATCCCCCTGGCCTAGGGCTGGAACTGGGGAGATGTTGAGACCTCCAACTCTAACCTGTCCTGCACAGAGGTCGTCAGACTAAGGTCTACCTTGGATTGAGATAAGGTGAAGTGTGGTAACGAGGCTGAGGGGCTTGTGCCAAAGATGAACTGTATTTATCTTTCAAGAATTTGCTTACTGTAAAAACTTAAAAAGCACCAAAATATTTAAAGTAGAAAAAAAGCCACCCTTTGCCCCCCCTTCACTATCCCCCCCACCTCCCCACCCACCCAAGACATCTGTTGATGGAGGCTCATCTCCAGCCTTTCCTGTTCTTAGTGGGCTTCGCAGAGCTGGCCAGAGTTCAGTATTCCATCTGCTCTCCACCTACTTGTGCAGGTGATGTTTCCTTAGGTGTTCACCTGCAGGTGGGGGTTCCTAGAGAGTTTAGGGTTGGGGGTGGCATCGGGGTGAGCCAGGGGAGCTGGAAGGCCTGAGCAGAGAGGAGATGGGGCTATAGTGCCTCTGCTTTCAGCAGGTGCATGATGGCATTGGGGGAGGTGTGCGGGGGAGGAGCAGAGAGCCCCAGTGGTCAGGGTGCTGGCAATGGGCCAGCCCAGAAGTAAAGTTTAAATATTATGCCTGATAGACTGCTTCCTGGGAACCCACGTGACGTGCTCCGCCTCTAGGTTGGGCAAGGACAGTGTAGGCAGAGGTGACTTGGAGGTGTGTGTGTGCACTGGAAATGGAGGTTGCTCCGGGATCCCCAATCTCCTCTGTGGCTGCGACATGTATAAAATAAAGAAAGATGGGACAGGAAGTGTTAGAATGGTTCTTTGGGTTCATAAATCCATGCTTTGATCCTGTTGCCTTAGAAGAACGCACATCTTCTATGGGATTAAACAGTATTTTATGCTGAGGTGGTACCTAGTTTGGGTTGTTAGACGTGTCTGTCTTGGGTGACCAGTGTGTTTAATAAGCACAGTGTGAACCAATGGTTGTTATAATTAATTTCTGCACTCTGATAACACTCCTTTTGGATTGGAGCCTGAGCCTCCATTAACAGGTCCTGCGGTAGATGAGACTGAGCTCTGTGAAGGTGTCATCTACAGTACAAGCAATTGTTACATGGACAACAGTGGACAAAGGCTTCAAAGAACAGGCAATTTAAACTGGGTCCTGAAGGATGGGTAGGAGTTCACTGAGCAGGCTCCTCTTTTCTCCCTCGCCTCCCAACAAACTGTCCTCTAGAAAGTGCAGTAATCTGAAAGTTAAGTTCTATGGATTTGTATCCATGGATACCGTATAAATATCAGATAAAATGTAGTAACGATTTTTGGTGTCCTACACCGTTTGCTCATCTCTTTCTCAACTAGTAAGTGCTTTGCTCTGAAGCTAACTCATGTTCTGATGCTGTAAGATCAGCACTGGACTGCTAACTACAAGGTTAGCAGTTCAAACCCACTCCACATGGGTCACCTTGAGTCAGAACAGACTTCAAGGCATTTACCAACAACAACAAACCACCATATTGCTCTGCTGCTCTGGAGTTGGTTCCATCTCATACCGGTTTCTGAAGCTGTAAAGCTCATCTTTCTCCCATGTATTACTCTAAACCTTCATATAAAGTGGATCCCAGAATGTGTACTCTTTGGGTCACAACGCTATGTTTGTAAGATACATCCATGTGGAATCAGTATCAGTATTCCTTTTTATTACCGAGCACAGTTCCGTTGTAAGAACACACCACGATCTGTTTACCCATCCATCCGTAGAGGAACCACAGTGTGTATGTGAGGACACCGGCTCTCACTGTGCCTGGTGTACCTCTTGGGGTAGCATCGCAGGCCCCGACTTGGCTGCACTGCCCAGCATTGCCAAGTTGTTGTTGTCAGGTGCCATCGAGTCGGAACCGACTCATAGCGACCCCATGCACAGCAGAACGAAACAATGTTCGATCCTGGGCCAACCTCACTACCGCTGCCACACCTGAGTCCATCAATGATGCCACCTGGCTGATCCATCTCGTTGGGGGTCTTCCTCTCGCATTGCCAAGTAGAGGCTGGGAATAGAGTGGCAGCGGAAATCTGTCTTCTCTTGACTTTCATCTTGCTTGCCCTATCTGTTATGTGCACACCCTTCAAACATTTTCTCTCCTTGTCTCTCTGGTGGTACCCAGGAAGTGACAACCAAAGGACAAGTCCAGAAGGCACCCACGTGTGCGTAGAGTCCAAACCAGCTGGTGGCCATCAGCCTGGCTCGGACTGGTGGGCCCTTGTCCATCTTAAGGCCACGTGGGTGGCATTCAGGGAGGCGGGAGGAGGCCAGCGGAAGAGTGGTTTCGTAAGCTGTGTGCTGAATTGTTGCCTGGATTGTCCCAGTTGTTGTAGTGATGGGGGCGGATAGAGTGGGATTTCAATAATTTGAGAAGGACTCCTGTCTCCAGCTGCTTACAGACCAGGCTGTTCTGATTTTTTCCCGAAAGCCTTCTCTTTCAGGCCTAGGGCAGAGTGTTTCTGGGCCCAAAAGGGAGAAATTGTCATCTATTAGACATTGCATTTCCAAGAGGAAAGATTTAATAATGTGGGCACATATCACTAGCACCCATGTTCCATGAAATAGACCGTTATATGATTTGGATGATATATGAGCATCATATTGTATAGAAGCAATCTCTGAATAATACATGAGTTTCATTGCTCAGTCTGTCTTTAGGTTGGATTTGTATGGAAGTCTAAACAGGTAAAGCTTGTAGCTAGCGTCAGTGAATCAAGTGCTTGTCTTTATGATATATAATATACATTAAAAAAATTTAATATACATTAAAAAAATTAAAAGAACTCTTTCAGATACACTGAAACATATATTAATATAGCATTAAATATCTCTATATATGTATACTATATACTATATAAACATATAGTAATAATTAAACCAGGACCCAAACCATTACCTGAGTCAATTTGGATTCATCGTGACCTTGGACCTTGTAGCCATAGGGTATCCAAGACTGTAAATCTCCACAGAAACACACTGTTACATCGTTTTCTCATTGAGCTACTGGTAGATTTGAACCACCGATGTTTTGGTTAGCAGCTGAGCACTTAACAAATGCATCACCAGGACTCCTTAACATAATACAGTAATAATAGTCAAAATGGACTTCTGGTGTAGTGCTATAGGGTAAATGTAGGATTGTAAGGGCGGTTTGAACCACAAGGTTGCCAGTTCAAACTTACTGGTTCCTCCTCGGAAACGCTATACCGGGTCACTGTGAGTCAGAACCAACTCAACGGCACTTATCAAATAATAAACATGTTTTGATGGACATGGCAAAGCAGCTCATATTTATGATTATGAACCATGGTATGAACCTCGGAGTTTTTACAATAGGCAGGGGTGGGTTGAGGAGAGCTGGGAACACGTGTTGCCAATAGACCATTGTTGGGCACGTGACTGTATAGCTGCAGGAGTCCTGGGGTGGTGCTGCAGCTTAATGCACTGGGCTGCAAAATCAGTTTGAACTGCACGGTTAACGGTTCAAGCTCACCAGTTGCTCCTCGGAAATCCTATGTAGGGTTGCTATGGGTCTGAAGCGACTCAATGGCACATTAACAGTAACAGCATACAGCGTTCAACAAACCTGTGTTGGCAGAAGTATGGCCAGAATGCTCCTTGGAAGTCAGGATGGCCAGACTTCGTCTCTCATACTTTGGACATGTTGTCAGAAGGGAACAGTCCCTGGAGAAGGATATCATGCTAGCTAAAGTAGAGGGTCAGAGAAAAAGAAGAAGACCCTCAATGAGATGGATTGGCACAGTGGCAGCAGCAGTGGGCTCAAGTGTAGCAATGATTGTAAAGTTGGCCCAGGACTGGGCAGTGTTTCGTTCTATTGTGCATCGGGTCGCTATGAATCAGTACCGACTCTGTGACGCGTAATAGCAACAACAGTACAGTGCTAGACTACTAGCTGAAAGGATGCTGGTTCTAATCCTCCTAGAAGTGGTTCTGCCTCTGAAAACCCTACGGAGGACGGTTGACTCTGACGTACAAGGGGTCACCAAGAGTCAACATTAACCTGTTGACAGTTTTTTAAGAATTGTTTTTAGACATCTTTCTATGTTATCTTTGAGCTCCGGTGGCACAAGTAGCTAAGTGCTTAACTGTCAACAGAAAAGCACGTGGTTCACATCCACCAGAAAGATGTGGCAGTCTGCTTCCATAAAGATTTATGGCCTTGGAAACCCTATGGAGCAGTTGGGATCTGTCCCGTAGGGTGGCTCTGAGTCTTACATGGACCATCTCCTCTCCTGCAGGGTCAGTAGACATTTGTGGTTGTGTTTGTTTGTTTGTTTGTTTGGGGCTTTGTAGAAATCCCTGTCTAGGTAGGCAGGAGTCCTGGTGCGGCGCTGTAGGATAAGCACTAGACTGCAAGGTCTGTTTGAAACGCAGGGTTGGTGGTTCAAACTCAGAAACCCAATACTGGGTCGCTATGAGTTGAAACCAATTCGACAGCACTTAACAACCACAACAAGGTTGAAAGTATCTTGCTCTCCTGAGGCCTTGGACTGTCTCCCAAAACTGCGGGATTTTGGAATGCAGGGTAGATAGGATTCTGATGTCACCAGATCACCCCGAAGGAATGTTGGAATGAAGGTTTCCTGACCTGCGTTTGGAGACCAGAGTGAGTTGGGCAGAAGTATGCTTTCTCCAGGCCCCTACACACTCAGCACTCGGTGTCTGTCCCGTAGGTAGAAGAAGGTGCGCACCAATCCGTTCACGTTGATGCCTTATAGAGATGTTTGTGAACGAGGGACTCTTGGACACAGCATGGATGTCCCTCTAGGCTAAGACTGCCTGCACCATCCCACACGGCTCCTTGCAAGAAAATGGGGGTGGCTCAAGCTGCTGACCTTTATAGAAAGGAGAAAATGGCATTACAGGGATGCTGGCTGCCTCCGTCTGGTGGACC